TTAGAATGAGAGGTACCGTGCGGCGTTTAGAATAAGTTAAGCGTGCGTGTGTGGGATCCCATGCGATTTGTATTAAGTTAATGTATGTGTGTGTATGTGTGTGTGATACAAGTTCTTTGCTGGATTGTGGTAAAGAGCTTGTATATGCGAGCCTGTGAGCTAAGTAGAGTCAAAACTCATTTATCCTTCCGATAAATGAGGTTGCATTTGGAGGGTGGAAGGGATTTGGAGTTAGGGTGGGTTACTATCGTAGCCACCTCCACGTGGTGTGACCTGGTAATCGATATTGTTTTCTAAAAATGTTTTAAAGAATAATTTTTAGAAAACGATATCGAGCTAAGAGCTACGATTAGAATTTAAGTTGTAATTTTACTTATACACGATAATGAGTATGCAAAATCGTTAATTACTCACTTTCCGAGCAGAGTCTATGAACTTTTATGATTAAAGAATGTTCAGTGATTCTCTAGCCACTTTCTCATATCACATATGTTTACATTTTTATTGTAAATAATTAGTTATTAATTAATATCCAACACGATGTCAGCGGAATACATCGTACGCATGGGCTAATTTGAAATAATTAATAATACATTTTCTAAACACAATTTATGCACTTTTAATATAAGAGAATGTTTAGTGATCCCTCAGCTACTTTGTCGTATCATCTTTGTTCAGATTTTTAATGAAATTAATTAGTTATTAACTAATAACCTAAGGCCAGCCACTGTGACAAGCAGTACATACGAGGTCACTTTGAATAATTAATTACACGTTTTGTGGATATACTTTGTGCACTTTTATGATTGAAGAATGGTCAGCAATGCATTATTAACGTGGTCCAGTCATAAAAGTTCATAAATAATGTTTGGGTAACTAGTAATTAATTACTTTGTGTCAGCATTGCGATGCGTACATGAGCCGCCTATGTTAATTCTACTGCGCATGTGAAGTGCAATATTTCGGCACTTTGGCGACGTAGTATGGTTCCTGATAATAATATAAATATTAAATATACCTAAACAGTACCAAAAAATTGGCGACCATCTAGCATATAAGGAAAATAAAAAATGAATATTTCGGCACTTTGACGACGTAGAATCGTTCCTGAGGCATTTAGAAACAAATTTCTATTAGGGTTTGAGGCGTTTTGATGCCTAATAACGCCAGAAAATCAATTTTTGTAGAATTCGGTCCAAAACGGTACAGGTGGCGCCATCTAGCGGCGAGCGGTGGAACTACGAAAAAACTAAAATTTCCATTTTCTCCGAAATTAGGCAATTTCATGTATTTCTAAGGGTCAGAAATTGTTCTGTGACCTCTCTAGAATCTATATAATGCCACAAGAACCTCCTCAGAACGCTAGAAAAGAAAATAGAAAAATAGTCCAAAACATGGACTAAAAAATTGGCGTCCATCTAGCGGTGAAAGTTGGAACTACAAAAATATAAAAATGCGATCTCGAAAATTAGCGAACTTTGAGTACTTCTGAGGATCAGAAAGTGTTATGTGATCGCATTAGAAGCATTATAAAGCAATAAAAATTTCCTGAAAGCTTTAATAAAGAAAATAAAAAAAATGTCATTTTATGGAGAACCCTAGTGGCGCCATCTAGCGGCGAAACTGCGAACCAAACTGAAAAAACGTATGTCCGAACACGCGTTAAGGAAAAATATAAAAAGTAATATTCCGCAACTTCGGCGACGTAGTATGCTTCTTTAGACATTTTAAAGCAATGTTTGTTGAATAAGTTATTCATTTTTTCGCCAATTAAGCCCAGAAAATCAATTTCTATTTGAGCCCTTTACTGCGTGTTCGGACATACGTTTTTTCAGTTTAGTTCGCGGTTTCGCCGCTAGATGGCGCCACTAGTTTTCTCCATAAAATGACATTTTTTTTATTTTCTTTATTAAAGCTTTCAGGAAATTTTAATTGCTTTATAATGCTTCTAATGCGATCACATAACATTTTCTGAGCCTTAGAAGTACTCAAAGTTCGCTAATTTTCGAGAAAATCGCATTTTTATATTTTTGTAGTTCCAACTTTCACCGCTAGATGGACGCCAATTTTTTAGTCCATACTCCACTATTGTTTCTCTGTCTTTAATAAGAGACAAAAAATCTCAATAAAAGAAACACTGATCGAATTTAATGACACAGACGAGATTTTATTCCACCGCTATATGGACATATTCGGCAATACACAATAGAAACATTTCATTTCTCACACGATGCGACGTAAATGTTACATTATAGTTAAAGTACATTAAATAAATAAGTAAAAACTGTATATATCCCACGTTAGACAATGATAGAGAAGACAATTCGCTAACTAATAGCCACCAACGATTTGTACGTATATGCGATAAGTACATACTGATCGATCGAAAAATGTATACTCATTTCATTTAAAGCAACGATAAAGCGTGTTAATTTTTTTACATTAAGATAAACATTCTTTTCTTTAAACATATTCTCTCTTTCTCTTCGTTTTTCTCGCGGAAATTCATGTATTCCTTTTGTAAATCGTATTCGTTGTATTCTATACTTAAAAGAGAACGAAAGAGGAATATAAATTGGTTACATATATGTATACTGAGGTATATTACATTAACGGTAAATTGTAAAAAGAAAGTGCTTGACGATTTTACTGTAGTCGCTTAAATATTAAGGAACTTAGAATTTCCACGGAATCGCTTAAAGAACGTTATCATAATACAAGAATCATTACAGTTTACGTGTTTTTGACCTGCAAATGGACCCTTCATTTCGGGTTGTACTCTCATTGCTATCTAACAAACGTTAACTCGTCTGAGATTTTCATATAATAATCCGATACTTTAAATTTTGGTATATGTAATATCATATCTATAAATATCATCTCTCGCGAGCTTAATCTCGAAAAACCTTCAAATTACGTTATTTACTTTCGTGACACATTGATCGATTTATACAGAAAATTGTTCCTATGAGGTGTTAATACTGGTACGAGCGCTTCGTCTCGTCTTACAATTATGTGAGTCTTCAAATAAGCATCTTTAAACTGTTACTAACTAAGTACAAAAAACTTAATCATAAATACACATATAAATAATGTATATACAAAAAAAAATATATATATATATAGTGCGTTGACTGTAATTAAGATCCACAAAAGAGGTCGTAACCTATTGAAAACATTCCATGAGATAAGTGCGTAACTTACATTTGTAACGCTTCGTAAGTACATAAACCATACTGTGCACGAACTTGAACACTTCTTGTGTATACAGAATCAAGGTGGTTTGAAAATAGCAAAAAAAAAAGAGAAATACATCAGACACCACAAATGTTGTTGAACGAGACATTCGTAAGGACCCAACGAATGTCTCAATTCAATAGGCTTTCGCTGCTAGGCCGTGGTTTGATGACCAGACTTTGTAAGGCTCTTATCTCATTCTCATTGAGATTCGGAGGTCCAAATAGAAACTCCCTACGAGAACTCGGATTGGACAGAAGGTCCTGCATGTTCTCGTTGGTTAGCACCAGATAATGCAGAGAGGTCTGAGTTATATTAACTTTCCTAGCTAACGTCCCGGTAATATGAACATCGTCGATCCAGAAATAAGGCTCTTTCTGCGCCTCGCGATACAAAAGGAATACGCTATCGGGGGAGTACAGTATAGCCCATCCGGCACAGTACGCAGGATAATGTCTACCAGGGTACTCTTGAGGCGAAACCCTCCATTTGGAACGCCAGGATCTCTTCACGGTGCCTGCTGACAGAAGATCGCACAGGATCAACCGTCTGGCCCCCCACGGTGACAGACCATGCGTCAAGAAATCCATCATGGCGGGTATGTGAACAAAAACATCATCGTCTAACTTTAGTACATACTTGGCACCTGAAACAAAATAGTGATGTTTTACATAGTCCAAACAAGAGTCTTGTGCAGTTAGTATTTCAAGGTTATTGTATACTCTGATGCAGTGTAGGCTTCCTTCTGGTAAGAATAAGTACATGCTTCAGAACTCAAGGGTATATAGACACTAGGAAAAACCTAGGTCATAAGGAGAACTTAGCAGAAGTCTATAGTTTTTCCACACTGAGAAAGACATAAATTCTAGAGGGAAATTTAGTCCCTAAAGAAAACCTACGCTCTGAGAGATCCAAGATAATCTACAATCAGGAAATACCTTAGATCTTAGCTAAAGTTTATATTTTATAATTTACTCTTCAGGAGAAACGTAAGCTACAGATTCCTCCTCTAACATTTAAACATAAGGAAGCCAACATAGCACCCTAGTATACATGTCCAGTAATCATTCCCTTACTTGGACAATGATACGTAGCCCATTTCAATGCCATCACATGCTTATAAGTCATGTTTCTGTAAGCATCGAGAAAGTTGCCTTGTATCAAATCTTTGAATCTCCTGTTCTCCTCTTCCAGTTTGGTTTGATATTCATCTGACCAGCCAACGAGAAAGAGCAGCGTTACATCCGGTGACTGTTGACCCCAGGTCTCCCTGACGACGTTCCTCTTAACAAAATTCTCGGGCGCCGAATGAACCAGCATCAACAGCAACGGATGCGTCCGATTGCACGGATCGTGGTTGATCGTGAACTTGAAGTCCTTTATATCGATCAGGGTGGACCTGTCACCGAACGGAAGTTCGTGCAGTAAGTATGGCTGTGGAGAGGGCGTCGCGTTTCCGGGAAGGATCAGCAGGTATCCGGGTGCCGAACCGCCACCGACACTGTAAGGTGTCGGGGATCCGGATCCGTCGATGTGAAGCCAAAAGGAGAAGCATCCAGTCAGTGCCAAAGCGACCACAAAAATCAGGGTGCATGGTGGCGAACCGAAGGCATGAAGCCGCCGCTTTTCCAGCATACTAACGAACCCCTTACATCATACACGTCCGAGCTTGGCTGAAAGTATACAGTGAAATTTAGTGTTTGACTTTGACATTTCAGAGGGGGTGATTTTGGAACTTTGTTTAAAAATTTGGAGACTTGGAATTTTGGGAATTTGGAAATTTGAGAATTTGGTATTTTAGGAATTTTAGAATTTTGGGAATTTAGAATTTTGAGAATTTGGAATTTTGGGAATTTGGAATTTTGAGAGTTTGGAATTTTGGGAATTTGGAATTTTGAGAGTTTGGAATTTTAGGAATTTGGAATTTCGAGAATTTGGAATTTTGAGAATTTGGAATTTTGGGAATATGGAATTTTGAGAATTTGGAATTTGGAGAATTTGGAATTTGGAGAATTTGGAATTTGGAGAATTTGGAATTTTGAGAGCTTGGAATTTTGGGAATATGGAATTTTAAGAATTTGGAATTTGGAGAATTTGGAATTTGGAGAATTTGGAATTTGGAGAATTTGGAATTTGGAGAATTTGGAATTTGGAGAATTTGGAATTTGGAGAATTTGGAATTTGGAGAATTTGGAATTTGGAGAATTTGGAATTTGGAGAATTTGGAATTTGGAGAATTTGGAATTTGGAGAATTTGGAATTTGGAGAATTTGGAATTTGGAGAATTTGGAATTTGGAGAATTTGGAATTTGGAGAATTTGGAATTTGGAGAATTTGGAATTTGGAGAATTTGGAATTTGGAGAATTTGGAATTTGGAGAATTTGGAATTTGGAGAATTTGGAATTTGGAGAATTTGGAATTTGGAGAATTTGGAATTTGGAGAATTTGGAATTTGGAATTTTGAGAATTTGTCAACCGAGAGTACCATTATAAAACTTTGAAAACTAAAAAGTTTGAATCTAGAATTTCAAAATAGACTTCGAAATTTTTTAACTTTGATAACAGAACTTAAAAATTTAAGTGACTTGGAACTTAAGAATTAACAAGTTGGACCTCGATACCGATATAGTTATGACATAGTGCCAATATAAGCCATCTTCAGACACGTTACAAAAGTTGCACTTGTATAAATGCTGAGAACCGACTGCATCGATGAGATTAAAGTGACCGATAAAAGTTGATAAGATAATGAAAGTGTTGCTGTCTACCTGTGATTGAACTTTCCACGAATTCTTGCTTTTATAATTAATTAAATCAAAATTGATCGTAGATTAAGCACTTGACTCTAGTACCGTCGTGTTTCGTTCGTAAAGAACCCGAAAACCGGATTAGACATGTGTTACAACCGAAATTCGTATCTCATCTTTATGACGCTGATAGCAAACATTTCCGAATGCAAAGTACCTCGAGTAGGAAGCTTGACAATTTGAGACAGTTTATATAGTCACATTACTTTTCTTACACGGTTTCCCCACCTAATCTATTCACATGTGATACACACAGGTCTGAACAAGGAAAGAACTCGTCGATTCTGGATTTTCCGCAATAAATTCATTCTAATGGACCTTTATAAACAGACACATTTCATGTACACATTTGCCACGACAAACTTGTAATAAATGAATCACAGCATTAGAATACGATAGAAATCTCGAAAGATTTCAAGATAACACCATATTACAACAGTGGTCAACGCACATATGTCTTCGGTGAAAGTATTACACAGACAGTTGATTATTGATATTCTAAGTACCTTGAACTATCGTCTAGCGTTAGTTGTACATTTACTAACGCAAGAAGACTTCATGAACCCTATTGTTGCAAGGTCACGGAACTACGATAAAACTAAGGAAACATTTGTTTATCGTTTGCATGAATCACTGACGCCATTGAAAATATTCTAAAATGCACGTCAGAACGAATGGACCGGCAAGCCTTTTTTGGTATGTTGCGGTTCTCAGATGAACTCTCATGAGCGCTCAATGACACAAAAATGGAGATTGCAATGTTTTGTACTTGTAAGACGAGGTAGAAAAATGATTGACACGCTAACTGAGTTCGGTTTCAAAAATACTATATATATTATATAAACAGATTCCGTGAGCGAAGTAATGTCCTCAAGAGAAGGATGCCTTTCCAAGGTCTGTGAACGAATGCCTTTTCCAAAGGTCTCCAAACGAATGCCCTCTTCCCGTTCCGCGAGGTTTCCTAGTCCCCGCGAAACTTGAGGCCCTAGGGTTGTTTTATGGCCCGGACGTCAGGCCTCTACCCCGCGATGGTCGTCGTAGGACGGCCATGTGCCCGTCGTCCCTGCTTTATTAGGGTGGGTCACTGGGATTTTCTAACATACTGGTACGCCTAATTAACGGTATTTTTATTTTACCACGCGTTACATAGTTTTCCACGCGTCTCCACGCAATTATTTCTACAAACTGGTTTCACATATCACGATTATAACAATTTAACCCTTTGCACTCGTATGTCCACTCTCAGTCATCAAAGCCTTTTTACCGGTCCGCTCGTATGTCTGCTCTCAGCCAGCACAGCAAGGAACTATACGAATCGTATGCATTCATGTATCAGATTTCACTTTTCCTATACGAACCTCAATGCCTAAGGAACCTATTCACGAACTAATACAGTGCTCCATCGACTGGAGATAACGAAATCCAATCTAAACAAATGTTGCCACCCAGCGTTCGTCATGCAAAACGCAGCGACGAGTCAGTCCTCTTTTGAACCTAATGAAATCGACAACGTTCGGCAATGAATTCCAAAGAACATTTTATAAATTGTATTTAACAGTAATTAGACATTCTCTCTTCTTAAAATATTTCAAAATAATTCTCCAAAATGGCAAAAAGAAAGAAAGGTGTTTTGAAAAATACCACACGATGGAGAATTATAAAACATAATTTTTATACAAAAACATATCACTAGATGAGTGTATTGAATAAAGATATATTTAAAGTTCACAAAAAAATTACGATACCCATCTCCAAATTTAATCCGAGCGCAAAGGGAAAACTACTAGAATTGTTCAAGTGTCTAGAACAATCTAGATGAGACTGTGAGGTCGTTTATATCCCTCTTATCGAAGAAGGCAATTAGACTGCATCTGCATTTGAGTAGTTAATTTTTGAATTATCTATCGCACTGAACACCTGTCGGTGACGGATCAAATACTTTATGAATAAAAGATACAACGCGGTACAATTTAACCATCCACTTTTTTGCGTTCTCACGTTGAAAATATTCAGATATTATGACAGACTGCATATGGACTTCTTCAAATAATAACTCGAGTACTAACCTTGGAAAGTTTGAAAACACACGTGTGTACCTTATTATCCTTATCTATGCGTACCTATAGAATTAATAGACCATCTTTATCATCGTGTATCAACATAGTTGAACGAGTACTTAGTTGAAAATTCGTAGAACGTTTGTTATAAAATAATGTACGTTTATATAATTTATGTAAACATACATAATAATGTAACGTTTCTTTAATTGATGCTTTTTAACGAGAACGATAGTTGCCTTCAATTTGCTATCTTGCATTGTTTGTATAGTGAAGCTACTCGGAATAATCTCTTTTTATCGTGCACTTTAATCTGCGATACCGATTATCGGTAACGCTCGGAAAGTTCAACGTTCAAAAATATAAGTTTTGTAAGTTTTTTTAATTAATATCAATGAATTCCATTAATGATATTTCTCGGTGTTTAACTGCTAATAAATTGCTCATTTCACTTTTGAAATTTTCCCGCTTTTCAGCAGGAGTAATCATAAACTCGGAGGGAATAAAAAACGCTTATCAGAGAATTACGTATGCGCTCCTTATCGGATTATCAACGATCGCCTTGACGTGGCAGTGTTCCATGGTACTCGAAGTAAGACGAACGATTTTTTTCGTTCCGTAGAATTCCCAGAGTTTGGAATAGCAGGTGCGATTGTGTTTATTTAGCTTTTATCGCTTGAAGATTCACGAGGCATCGACGCAGTTTATGTACAGTCAAAGGCAAACGTACTAGAAACGAATTCGCGGAACTCGGCTGCGTGAAACAGACATCCAGCTTAAAAAGTAAAAAGTGAAGTAATTGTGCTCTGCAACTGAAAATTACTTAAAATAAAAGAAGGTGATAATCAACTGTTTCTCTTATCCCAAGATAAATACAGCTGAAAAGATTATTCTGTGGTGTATTGTACTGTGGATATTGATAAACAATAAAATGGATAAGTAACGAGACATGCTTATTGCAATAAGGTCAATGTAATATTTTGTTTGAAAACATTTAGTGCAAGAGTGTTCTACTGGGGATACAACCGATAAATTTTAACCCATTGATAATGTCAGTCTCTTGATAATCTCTCTCTACTAAATTAAGCTTCTTTGATTAACGCATTCATCACCAGCATTCAGATGCAAATTTGTTCATCATAAATCACTTTCTGAGTAATAATTATTATTTATCATTTTCATTAATATAACATAACACGTGATAAAATAACATAATTTTGGACCATTATAGATTGTTCTTAATTAAAACAATTAATTATAATTCTATAATGAATGTTCAGTATCAATTTTAATCATTCTTTACGAAAATAAAAATGAACGGTCAATATGGTTTTAAAGAAAGCAATAGAATGCTGCATTATACTTAGCTGCACCATATATATAATATTTAGAATGTTGCTTCAAGTATAACAGTAAAACATTTACATCTTGGTATGTCTAAAAGGATTTATATTTACTGTTTTCAAACTGATTCCATACTAAAAACTTTTTCTTTCCATACTATTTCTTTTTGATCGTGAGAAAAGTATTAGTGGTATAGGATTGCTTTACATTTTTAATAAGTCATAAATGCAAATCTTACTCTGCCTTTAATAATCCTAATTATCTCTATTGTCTATTTTTAACAATGTCATAAATAATTAATTCAACAGTGTATCAATTAATGCATATATTAATAGAACATTATGTACATTCTATAGAGAGGGAAACAAATTGAACAAAGTTCACTTCTTAACATAAACTATGTTCCTTGAAATAAAAGGTCCTAACCAAGCTAACCAAAGTTCAAGTATAATTACACATTCTGCATTGTATGCACCTGTAAATCATTGAAAATCATACAGTCAAATTAATGCTTGAAATATACTTTGGTTGTATCACTACTGTGCAGTATAATTACATGTTCATTCACACTTACAGAATATAAACAAAAAATTTTTAGAGGAATCGTCATTCAAATGTCACGTTTCCATGCATCACACTAGAAGAAACACGAGAAAAAAAAGAAAGTAGAAAGTTTCAAAACAAATAATCATTCAGTGACGAGTAAGCACAATAACAAAAAAAAAAGAAGCATGTTTACAACTTACGTGCAGAAAAAAGCTTTGAAAATTTCTAAGCATCCACTGTGACGATGAAAATCCTGTTTTGCACATTCGGCACAGGTGACGTTAATGCTGCGACGCTGTTGAAACGTAATGAGAATCCCAGAGGGTTCGAGGTTAGGTCAGACGAATGTATTGTTGACGATCTGTAGCATTTGACGGTAGCATCCCAAGCCGCTCTCTAGGAGGGTGTTGCTTTTCTAGAAACGTACAACGTGAATACCAACGACGTAGATGTTCCGTGGTGTTCAACAACTTTGTTTCTTTTTTTTCCTGACACCCCTCATTTTCCTCCCTATTTGTTTGTTTAATCGTACGCCTCTACGTAGCCGAGACGAATCGAACCATGTGTAGAAAAATTTGCTAGGAGGCGAAGCCACGGGAGAAAGTCGTGGGCGAAGGGCGAAGTCCGTTTGAATCCCGAATTAAGGAATGATGTGATATTCCTACCCTGGTCCCGAACGTGTCGTGTAAGCGTACCCTCTTTAGTCGCTGCATCATAGCGCATCCCAGGGCGGAAATTTCAAATGCAGCAACCTTATTGTACCAAGAAAACCAAATATAATTATTTATTACATGCAAAATATGGTTTTATTACATTTTTTAACTATTTCCTTGTGCAAAGTTATTTAATTCAGGTGATTCGGAAGGATTATACTAATACTTCGTATTTCACCTGGTGCACCGAAATATTTATTAATGTCCCGCGAACAACGATTTTCGATTAAAAGTAAGAAATTTGAAGATTTGAGAATATGGAAGTACAAGAGTTTGAGAGGTTGCGACATTATTACGAGCAGTATGTAATTTTTAAAGACAACAAATTTATAGTCTAAAAATTCAAATTTCGACATTCATAGTAACCGCCCACGTCCATGAAAGTACAACTTAAGAGCGAAATAATGAGTTATACATAAAACATTGTACCAAATGTGTGGCTGGTAAATCGATAAGAATATGAAAGCATGCAAGAACGAAACCGCGCGTTATCCCCGGAGGGTTCAACGAACGGTAATTGTTTCGAATGTTACCGCGGACGTGGTTTAGTGTTTCGTGGCGGCATCGGGTGGCGCTAACTCTCCGCGGCATGAATTGAATGGACGTGCACATTCGGCACAGGTGACGTTAATGCTGCGACGCTGTTGAAACGTAATGAGAATCCCAGAGGGTTCGAGGTTAGGTCAGACGAATGTATTGTTGACGATCTGTAGCATTTGACGGTAGCATCCCAAGCCGCTCTCTAGGAGGGTGTTGCTTTTCTAGAAACGTACAACGTGAATACCAACGACGTAGATGTTCCGTGGTGTTCAACAACTTTGTTTCTTTTTTTTCCTGACACCCCTCATTTTCCTCCCTATTTGTTTGTTTAATCGTACGCCTCTACGTAGCCGAGACGAATCGAACCATGTGTAGAAAAATTTGCTAGGAGGCGAAGCCACGGGAGAAAGTCGTGGGCGAAGGGCGAAGTCCGTTTGAATCCCGAATTAAGGAATGATGTGATATTCCTACCCTGGTCCCGAACGTGTCGTGTAAGCGTACCCTCTTTAGTCGCTGCATCATAGCGCATCCCAGGGCGGAAATTTCAAATGCAGCAACCTTATTGTACCAAGAAAACCAAATATAATTATTTATTACATGCAAAATATGGTTTTATTACATTTTTTAACTATTTCCTTGTGCAAAGTTATTTAATTCAGGTGATTCGGAAGGATTATACTAATACTTCGTATTTCACCTGGTGCACCGAAATATTTATTAATGTCCCGCGAACAACGATTTTCGATTAAAAGTAAGAAATTTGAAGATTTGAGAATATGGAAGTACAAGAGTTTGAGAGGTTGCGACATTATTACGAGCAGTATGTAATTTTTAAAGACAACAAATTTATAGTCTAAAAATTCAAATTTCGACATTCATAGTAACCGCCCACGTCCATGAAAGTACAACTTAAGAGCGAAATAATGAGTTATACATAAAACATTGTACCAAATGTGTGGCTGGTAAATCGATAAGAATATGAAAGCATGCAAGAACGAAACCGCGCGTTATCCCCGGAGGGTTCAACGAACGGTAATTGTTTCGAATGTTACCGCGGACGTGGTTTAGTGTTTCGTGGCGGCATCGGGTGGCGCTAACTCTCCGCGGCATGAATTGAATGGACGCGAGAAACTCAAGCGTCCGCAACGCTCAAGCCAGCTCTCCCAGGTGCGCTAAACGCGCACGCGCCGCACGTTTATTATCTTCTTTCTGTTCAAGTGCCATTTCATTGCATGCAGTGCAGTCTATAAAACAGAATGCGTTCTCAGTGGATCTCGAGTTTCCTATCACTTATCGTCATTCGTAGCGTATAAACATAACAGCACGCGGTCATTAACTTACAAATTGTTTACGTGTCGTCTGGCACATGGGAACCCGTTGATATCGGCCGCGGAAATGCTGGCGTTCGCGCAATAAAAAACACGATCGTGCCATTGTTAGCGTCGTCCACGGGTTCCTGGATCGAATTTTCGAACGATCGTGCGGGCAAAATGTCATGCAGCTACGCGGACGGGCTTTCGCAGTACGAAAACAAAGGAGTGCTCGGTTTGGAGGAGGTAAAAAGCATTGTTTCTATGCGTTCTGTTTGTGGCGGGAGTCGGCCATCCTCGAACGCGTTCCGTTCGTTTGTTTGATGCGTCAATTTTTCTTTTTTTTTTTCTTTTTTTAGAGATACGACAGCGTCGAGGCGTTGCGACTGAAATGTGGCCTTCTAGCCGAGTGGATACAAGCGGCACGGCACGTTGTCGTTCACACTGGTGCTGGTATCAGCACCGCTGCGGGCATTCCGGACTTTCGGTGATTATCATTTGTAATTTTTCCCTCAAATCCCCACCCTACTTCGATGTACTTCCGTCCCTCCTCTCCCCGACACCCCGATACCCCCTGTTTCCGATCTGTTGTGCGTTCGAAAGCGCCACTGGTCAATTCTTTCAAATTAATCAAGCGGGAAATGGAGCCGCGAAGAAAGAAGCGAAATTCCTTTGATCGACGCCGTCCACCATTGTTGCGCGGCGACAATGGTGGTGATGATTCCTGGAAACCTTGATAGCTGAACGTTCTATAGTTAGACAAAAAACGATCAAATCATTAGAAACTTGAATAGATGTGTGAAATATTGATACGATTAAAAAAAATTGCGTGCCTTGTTTCCACGCTCATTATATATGAAACTTATGCATTTATTATGGATAAAAATTCTGAGACTTGGAAATTGAGATTTCGGATATTTGGAAATTTAGAAATATATGAACCTGCAAATTTAGGCTTTTGCAAATTTCAAAATTTAGGAATTTACGAATTTTCAAGTCATTATTTTTTAAAGTTTATAAATTTAGAAATATTTAAATATAGGACTTCTCATATCCCATAAACACATAAACGTGCATAATACAGTAATTATGCAAAAATAAATGCTAAAAAATTTATGTATCATTTAAAAAACTATATAACTGTAAAAACTGTTATTTTGCAAAATTTAATAGCTAACATTACTGTTAATTGTTAGAAAAAGCATGAAGAATTAGATATTTTTAAGAAACTACATATTCTTAAAATATTTTAAAAAATGACATTTCCTATATACCAATCTAATGATCATAGAGGTACAAATGGTGTGTGGACACTGGAACAAAAAGGTTTAAAGCCTACCATGAATATTTCCTTTGATGAAGCGATTCCTACAAAGACACATATGGCATTGAAAAAATTATTAGATGCTAGTAAGTACAGTCTTAACTAGCTATGTAATAAGTAGCCATAAGAATCTACCAATATCTATTTGATTTTCTGCAGAAAAAGTTAAATTTATTATAAGTCAGAACATTGATGGTTTGCATCTCCGGTCTGGAGTGCAGAGACAGTACCTTGCAGAGTTACATGGAAACATGTTTACTGAACAATGTGATAAATGTGGAAGGTTGGTACTATTCTGTTGAATTAAAATTGTTTATCATTAACTTTAATGTATTATAATATCTTTTGTAGGCAATTTATTCGAAATTTCGCTACTAAAAGTGTTGGCAAGAAATCTCTGGATACTGTGTGTAGATCTGAACAAATAGGCGGTCGTCCATGTCGTGGACGCATGCATGACACTATCCTTGATTGGGAACACAACTTGCCAGACAGTGATCTAACTTTATCCGATTTACATTCTAGGTAATTGATAAATATTTGCAGATATGGTCACTCGTCGAATTTATTTTATTGTAGTTAATATTGTATATAAATATATGTTTATAGCGTTGCGGATTTAAGTATATGTCTTGGGACGACGTTGCAAATTATACCGAGTGGTAATTTACCTCTGTACACAAAAAAGTATGGTGGTCGACTCGTTATATGTAATCTACAACCTACAAAACACGTAAGAAAATTTCTTTTTGCTTTTGTAGCAATTTGAGAGATTTAATAATGTATTATTCGTAGCATAACGTATAGAGTGACCAATATGGTAGTTAGTCCCTAATTAGGTAACCTTGAAAAATAAGAGATATCATTTTTAGGATAAGAAAGCAGATTTAATAATTAACGGTAACGTTGACGAGATAATGATCAGTGTCATGAAAAAGTTGGGACTAGAGATCCCAGAATACGAGAGTACAATGGATCCCACACGCAATCCTGACACGACGTGTAAGGAAATGGATTGGACGATACCGACCAGCAGAATAAAAGAGATGAACGTACTCTACAAGAAGGTATGCAAGCCTATGAGAAGGAAACGAAAAACCTTCATGTACGAGAGAGAAAGAACGGATACAAAGCGGGAGACAAAACCGAAGAAGCAGGCTTTCATGATAAAGCAAGATATAAAAGCGGAAGACACGTTGAACGCGTCAAACATAGTTTGCAGTAACGCAGTAGTCAGCGACATGAGCAGCAACGTGGTAAAAATCGAGGATGAAATTAAAGACGTGGAACCGTTTGATTTCTCGACGAATGACATGACTCAACCAGTTCCTGGTTTGTCACTAAATGACATACTGTAGCATGATTTCGGCATACAGTGATCTAACGACCTAATACTCTTATTAATCTCAATCTCTGTTAAATTTATTTATGAGTGCATATAGAATGGATGTTATCTGTATGTGAAGAATGCCTAAAGTGCTATTGATTTGTTTATACAAAAACACGAGAAAAGGCAAAAAAAAGGAAGAACAGAAATTGAAAAGTAAGATGAGTTTACCGACCGGTAAACTGCTTTTATCGTCAAATCAGAAATCGCTGCAATACGTGTACATACATAAGTATATGTAGTAGTACTTTCGTAATCGCTTCCATGTTATGTCTGCTTTTTCATTACTCGTCTGTAGTTCTTATTCCAAGATCAGAGTTCAAGGGACTAATGTGTATCATACTCTTAAGCATACACGTATATTGCATGCCCCATGTTTTTTCTCCCACTATGATACATTAACATTAAGTACTTAAGATGGTTTATTTAGGATCGTTTTTAACGTACTGACAGAGAGATTTTATAGTAGTAACACGTCGACCGTATAAGGGTTCGAGAAGGGTGTGAGTTAGTATTTTACGTTTGAGAGCGTTTCATTAAGTATCTGTCATCATTGGCGTAACTAAGCAGGGATGGACCTGGTTTGCAAAAATTGGACTCTCCTCATAAGAAAGTAAAAATTGAAAAGACGGTAAAGTGCAATTGTATCTTAATCAAAATAAATATTGGCTAAAAATGCAATACATAGCTTATTAGGGGATCCGATCTATTGCAGATAAAAATATTAGTGGCGCCAATCTCTGTGCTATTCGTGTTTTCTAGGAATGTGCGGGTACTCGGGGTGATAGACTCGGTTCGGTTCGGAGAACTTCGGACAGGATCGGGTACCCGACATATTGGGTTACCCGCACATCTCTAGTGCAGAGTTTCCCAAACTTCTCTGGGTTGAATTTTACTTCTGAAAATTGTAACTTTTCACGACCCACTTACTTGTAACCCATTACATACAAAATTCCAAAGTTTTTCGCGAATAACGAAACGTTATTTTACTACTTAAAAATTTAGTATATTTTAATATACGACGTTTGACCCACACTTTGGGAACCTCTGCTATAGTGTTCTTTCGATACATGACCAAGATCTTCTATATAAAACTGTTTGTAACTCACGAAGCGATTAAGGAAGATATATATGAAGATGTTTTAATGCACCGGAATAGTGAATAATCGTTGCTACTTTGAACGTTTATGATTGAAATCTTTAATAGGACGCTCCATACGAGCGAGTCGGTGTTGTTTGATCATCTAATAGTTAAGTGTCTCTCGTTGAAACGCACACGTTTGTATAATCGTGAAAGGATAAACGAAGAAGTGTCAATGACAGATGTTGAAACGAACAGTGGGACCGTGAGGTTATATCCTTGACAATATGTCTCCAGAAACGGTATAGAATGCGAAAGTGCAAAAGTTAGAGAGAGAGAAAAAAAAAATATACAAAATGTAAGCAAGTCTTTCTTATATCGGCATTCAACGCTATTTTGTCGATAGCGTTTTTAAAGTAGGACGCAGTTTAGCAAAATGTGTAATATTTATATGTAAATAGCGCAATATATGCTTGGTTGCTCTTAATAATTTATTACTTTAATTGATATTATTTACTGGACGTTACTATTAGTGAAATATTATATAGTATTTGACAGGAAATAAAATCGTGGAAAGGATCTTGTCTTCAATCGTTATTTCCCGTTTTCGTATTATTAGATATAAATGTAACGGGGTTTTGATTGAAAAAACGAGTCGTCATTTTGATATGCTATATTCTTATTCATAGCCAAGTTTAAACAAGGATACAACATAAAATCTTGTACACGTGCGTTACAATAATTACTCCATAGCTTAAATTCTTCTGAAACGAATCAAGAAAAACATCACTCCAAGGATTCAAACATATTTCGCCTCTTTAATAAATAGATCTTTATCATTTACATGTTTCCATACTCTTATTTTGCACGCAGACTTAACCGACATGTTGCGCTACACCGACGTGGAAACGTGTGAATAAGATCTGAAACGGTGTTTCCTCTTTTCTTCCAAAGATAATTTCCAATAATCTAGATCGAATTCTCTTTAAGAAAACTATGAGAAAGAAAAACTTATCATGTATCCTTGAGAAGTACCTTTGCGCAAGTGGCAGATCCAAATGTTATGAAATCTAAAGATATATGTAAACTAAAATTATTTCAACTAGTATCAGATTTTAATACTAAGTATCACTAAATGAATTATGACTAAATATTTTCACAGTTGTAGAAACTAAATTTTCGAATTTACAATGTTTCCATGCAAGACCCACTATATTGTCAACTGCTACAGCCCCAACCGTAGCGTCCAATAGCGTCAAAGTCCCCTTAAATTCTACCGATTAAATTTGAAAAGGTCGAATAATATCTAGATTTGCCCCTTCCTGCAGCGCCGAAGAAACACCGGTTCAGAGCAAACGAATCACTACGGGGTGTTTTCCGTGCAATTGTACAAAGAACAAAGCTAATATTATACGTTTTGATTTTCCTAAAGTTACGGTCAGTTGCGGTATTTATATTAAATACACCGTTGACACAAGAGACATATACAAATCGTTGATATACCTTAAACTTCGAGCGTAATCGCAAACTCGATTCGATACTTCTATATTTACACGCGTACGGTTTACATGGTTCGCAATTAGGTCGCATTATTCTCGATGTTCGCGGGATTAACAAGAATTTTCATTGAACACGTTCGTATATATATATGTATATATATAACTATATTTGACTTTCCTATCCTAAAAATTATGAGGGTTTAACTACCACTCCCGTTCGACGGTGTAATCGTCGCGCAACGAATCGTACAATGATCCGACATCGTCGCGATTTCGGCAAAAATTATACACACGCAATTTATTCGCAATAAATATGTTACGCACGACGAATGCATAACGCAACATCGAGGAGATACCCCAAATACTATCGACGGCACTTTAAAAATGAAACGGAAAGCACCCCGAGCAAATTCGTATCGTCGGCTTCTCGATGAGCGCGCGTCGACTCACGCAAGTCGTTCGTTTCTATAAAAGAATAAATACAGTGAGCTTAAAAAGAGAGAGACGCAATAGAAATGGGTCAGAGATTTTCTGTATAGGGACAAAGATAGAAGTACGTTAAATTATTCGTGTACTCGTGTGATGCAAGAGAGATCATACGGTGAACGAGAAAACAAGAGCCGCAAAGAAGAGAAGAAATTGGAAAGGAAAAGTACATATCACGATCAGGAGATATAAATCTTTTATCGGTCGGTTCGCATCGCAGCGATCGATTAAGCGACGTCGATTTCAACGCGCGAACCGATGCCGATTTATTTGGTATAATTGCATTTTAAATATCGTCTCCTTGTTCGGAAAACTCATTAACGCCTACCAAAAGTGTTCAATTAGACTATCTATATACAAGTAATCTTTACGCGACGGAATAAAAATCGATTATTACATATATATATATTTTTATATATATAATAGTCATGATAAACTTTTTTTTTACTATATTGCTCTACTTGCGTATTTTTCGATTTTGCACGTTTACCGACAAGAACGGAGACGATTATCGGCCGAGAGCTTGGTCGGTAATGTACCGTTGCTCGATCCTGTCGGTCGTTTCGAGACTTTATTCTCGTCAGTGAAAAAAAAATATATATATATATTTCGACGGGAAAGTGTCATTTCTTCCTCGGCTGCTAAATACCGTGACAAACAATAAATAGAAGTACGTATTATATATGGCTAACTTAATTCGTTGTGTAAAATGTATCTTTGGGTTTCAGTACGGTCCGATCGATTAACGGAGAACGCTGTTAATACTTCATCATTGACGACGTTCTCCCATACTCGACGGGCTCATTCGTATAATTTTTTCCCTCTGTGTTCGCTCATCCTTGTATTGGCAAGGTTACATGTATGTACATAATACAAAATACGCACAGTCCTGGCGCTTCGTGTAGGAAAAAAAAGATGCGAAAGGTAGGCACGTAATCGACGGAAAGAACGAACAGCGACCCTCTGGTCTTACGGATGAAGATGTAGAAAAGCAAAAGTGGCTCTTTCGTAACCCACATACAACATGTTCCTCCCGACTTCTTCGAACAATGTCATAAAACGATATCTTGAAAATGATTACTAACGTCGAACTATTGAATTAGTACGGAGAGTCCGAAACGAAGTGTTTCTCTTAACTTGATCTATGATATCCAGTTAAAAAAGTAATATTAAAATGACCAAATTTTAACAATTCATCGACAAAATACTATGCTTTCAGTTAAAACAAAATTAGACACAAATATAAATATTTAATAAATAAAACACAACAAATCGTTTTTTTTAGTTCATCAAACTACTCAGAGTGGCAGATCTGTCGTCATCGAATGAATGTTCACGTACTTTGATAGGAATTGTTATAACAACTCAATGACCTTATAAAGAGTGGTCGTAACAACCGTTTTTGTACAGTGAACATTCATCGATGCGTCAACATTTCTACGAGGCCCATCGATGCTAATCGAAAAGGCTAGCTCTCAAGATCCAAGCAGCTGACTACAGTAATTTTGACTAACTCTATTTTGCACAGATTGACTCACTGGTTTAGACGAAGGGGGAGGAACCTAAGGCACAAATGTGAAATATTCGAAAACCAACAAGATGCAGGTTGCTTTATTCGTGGCTGCGTTTCACTCCCAACAGTTTAGCAGCATCGTCGGCGGACGCTTGCAACACCCGGTCGATGAAGCTCTTGTCTCTTATCCCAAGAAGATTCGAAATTAAATCGTTATCCGTGCTCTCGGTCGCGTCTGGATTCACGTTCTGCGGGATACTCGCCAGTTTCCCGGTCAGAGTTGTCAGCTTCTTGTACGGATTCAATCTTATCAGTCCACTGGGTGTCGCATCACCGGTAGCGACTGGAGCGATGCTCGACAACGAGATTCGATCAGGAATCTGGGGATTTCCCGCATTTGCCCCTAGTAATACCGGCGTTTGCTGTTGCGTTCTAGGCGTGATCGTAGGTGGTTGAGTGGGCGAGTTCTCCTCGTCGCCACTGGTGCCAACGTACATCGTCGAGTCGATGGACTCGTGCTTCTTCCGGTGACGCAGCATGCTGTGCTTCAGGGTGAACCTTCTGCAGCAGATATCGCACGAGAACGGCCTCTCGCCGGTGTGTGTCCTCATGTGACGTCGAAGGTCCTCCGCGGACCAGAATCGCCTCATGCAGAATGCGCAGACCACCTGGAAATGTTGGCTCTTTTAGTTGGCGTTCTTCGCTAATTCGTGATCTGTTACAGAACGAGTATACTGATTGAAATGGACCTGACCATAGAGACGTGGGGAGGGTAAATTGATAGGTCTACTTGATAGAACTGGCAATCTTAGATGATTGGATATCTCACAATTTGTAAATTTCTAAATTTCTAAATGGCTGCCAAACGATTCACAAACCACCTCACCACATCCCTGATAGCAACAAAAATGACCAAGGATGAAAAGTATATATTTCCACCAAGTACATCTACAATTTACGTTCAAACGTAACTAAACAAATTACCTTTCTGTTACTATAATCCGGGAAACGTCCCCTCTTCTCCTCTCCGTCGCTGGTCTGTTGTTGCGGTGGAGGTTGCTGCTGGTCTTCCACCGTGTCGATGTCCATATCCAGCGCACCTTTCGCCACCAGCATCTCGTAGGACCGTTTATGGTTCGCCTTGATATGCTCTAAGCAGTCTTGTCGCTCTGCGAACCCGCAATCGCACAAGTGACACTTGAAGGGAACGTCGCTGGGTCCGGGCGAGGATCTTGGCGAGGGTCTCCTCGATCTTGACGTATCGTTGGTGGACGGTGAAGTGTTGGAGTTCGATTTTGCAAGTCCTGGAACGGAGGAAGTCTCCATGCTCTCAGACACGCTGGACGACTGGCTGTCGTAATCGGTCTGCTCGTTCTGTTTCGTGCACTCCTGAGGACTGTTCTGGGGCTCGCTGGACGGAGTGTCTGACCTCGACTTCATTTTGCGAGCGTGTTTCGTCGAACGGTGCTTTTTCAAGTTGCCCAGCGTGGAAAAGGTCGAGCTGGGACACTGGTTGCACTTGTACGGCCTCTCGGGCACGTTTCTCATGGAGAAGGAGTTGTTGTTACTGATGACCGCCTGGGAGTCTGGAGAAGAGGAGTTCCTGGCGCGACGAACCTTGTTGGGGTTCGCCTTGTGCTTCCTCAACAGATGGCGATCGCAGTTCGACTTGGTAGTGAACAGCAGCGAGCAGTGCATGCACTGGTATGGTTTCTGTCCCGTGTGCGTGAGGATGTGTCTCCTGAGGGACGATGTCCAGGGGAAAGGTCGTTCGCAGTACGGACATATGACACGGTTCGGAGCCATCGAGTACGCGGACTTCTTCTTCTTCTTCTTTTTCTTCTTCTTCTTTTTGGACGAGATGCTGACGGAATTCAGCGAGTTCACGGAGTCAGACTTGTCGTCGCTGCCGGAGTTGTTGCAGTCGCTGTGAGAAGCTACCAGTCCTTCTTCGTCGCTCAGATATTGAGGCTGAAACTGTTGGTACTGTTGAGAAGCGTTATCCAGCAGCTCGGAAACGCTCGCGAGATCTGTCACGCCGTCTTCCGCCTTCTCGCTTTTGTCTTCGGTCTCCATCTTGAACGGTCGATTCTGCACCTGTTCCTGCGAGTTCTCGCTGTCAGCGGGCCTCTCGGAATCCGACGCCTTCGCGTCGTCGGCATCGGCGTTCTCGTTGTTCGCCGATTCGGCGTTTCCCGTTTCCGAGGCGTCTTTCGTCGACTCTTCAGCCTCGTCCCGTATCACGCTGTCCTTGGAAGGCTCTGCACCTTCCAACTGCCCTCTCAGCAAGCTCTTCTCCTTCTGATCCTGAGATTCTTGACCGTCCTTATCCTGAGGATCCTCGTCGATCACGAGCTCCTCTTCAGAATCGTTCTCCTCCACCTTGTTGGCCTTCAGCTGCTGTGCCAGGATCGCGTACTTCACCTGATCGGAAATGGGATGCTTCGCGAAGTCCGAGTTAGCAGACGGCTCGACCTTTGGCAGGATTTTCGTGTACGATTGAGGCACCTGAGACGAAGCAGGCTGTCCAAGATTCTGCAGCAACGTGGGATGACTTGAAGGAGGTCTTCCTCTGGTGGAGTGTCCTCCTCTGGGTCTCTGGCTCCAGTGCTGCGGATGCTGTTGTTTAATGTGTCTCTCCATGTTGCTTCTCAAAGTGAACCTCGCCGAACAGTGTTCACAAGTGAATGGCCTCTCGGTTCTGTATCGTCTCTGTTTCTGTTTGGGCATCAGTACCCCGTTCTTGATCACCATCTTCACCGAGTTTGAGGAGGGGATGTCGGGTTTGTCGCGATTCGATAGAGCTTTGTTCGCCATCTTCGCGGAGATCAGCTTCGCGTAGTCGTTCTGATCGCTCGACGATTGCGAGTTTATGTCCCTTTGAGCGAAGGCCGAGAATCCCGTGGCACCGATAGCCGGCTCGACCAGAGTGCCGCCGCTGGTCAACTGCAGTCCTCTGACCAACTCCTTCTGCAGTCTCTCCTTCATCGAGAAATCCTGGCCGAACACGTGGGGGTTGAACATGTACGGTGGCAAAATTCCCGCCCCCACGCTGGCGCCGAACGTCCCAAAGTTTCTGTAAATCGCGTTCGCGTACAGGGCTTCCAGCGACGTGGGCTGAGAGGTACCCTGGCCGGCTTTCAACAGGGCCTCGGTTAGCAACAGTTGACTAGTGGCGTTGTACAAGTCCTTCTGGTTCTTTCCGAACTGCTCGTGCGACGCGGCGAAGTCGCCCTCGTCCTTGTCCTTCGACTTCTTGCTGAGGTCAAGGACGTCCATGGAGAGGTCCAAGGGGCCATCCTCCCCGGCAGCGTTCTCCGACACGTTCAAACCCTTCTTCAGGTTCATCGGACTAGCTTGTATTCTTTGGTGCGAATCTGATTTGGTATCACTGACTAGGGACACGCTGCCCTCCGACGACCTCGACTCCAGATCCTCGTCCAGCTTCGAGTAGTCCGACTTGGTGTCCTGCGTGGACTTCGTGTCCTCGAAGCTCCGCTGCGTCAGCTCGATCGGCTGGCTGGGTCTCGAGAATGCGTCGCTCTTCTCGAAGTGATTCGCCGCAGCGTTGTGCATCGATATCGCGGAATTGTGCAACTTGGCCTCCTCTATTATTCTGATGTCCCCTCTGACCTCCATGGACGGAGGATAGTGCACCTGAGCCTGATGTTGGAACTCGGAGCGTTCGTTGGGGTAAACTAAACTCTTCCTAGCGTCGCTCTCCTTCATCACTCTCGGTGAACTCCTCTCCACGTTCTCGTTCGTCGAGTCCTCGTTCGGATGATAGATCAGCACGCTCTTGATGTCCTCCCTGGTTAGTTTACCGTGTCTGTTCCTCACGTGACGCTCGCAGTTCGCCTTCGTGGTGAAAGCGTAATTGCAGAGAGAGCATTCGTACGGCCTGTCGCCGTTGTGAGACCTCAAATGTCTGACCAGGGTGGCTTTGTCGGTGCTGGTGTACGGACACATGTTACAGGGATACGGCATGCCGGGTCCCACGCCCATGTGCGCCCTGTTATGACCCTTCAGCGCCCTCAGGTTCGGGAATATCGCCGAGCAGAGTCTGCAGGGGAACTCTCCCTTCAGCTTCATTTTTCTGAACTCGGCCGCGAACGCGTCTTGAGCCTCTTCTTCGTGGTACTCGGAGGAGAACGCGCCCGAAGAACCGGACGAATTTAAACTGGAGTTATACTTGATGTTGTTCTCAGGAGTACTGGCATCCGACCGAGGGAAGTTCTGCAGTATCGGACCGGACGTGACCGATATAATACTCTGAATGTCAGCCAGATCTTTTCCCTCCTTGGCTTCCGTCAAAGCAGCCTTGTTTTGTAAATCCAGGCCTGCGAAAAAGTTATCTCGTCTAGATTGACTATCATCTGTTGCTCTCGTGTGAGAGTTAGCCGTACCACAGTCGACTTCGTGGGCATCCAACGCCGATCTGCAGGGAAACGCTCGCAGACACTTGGAACACTGGAACTTCGCGACCTCTCCGGAGGCTGGTCTGTGCAGGGATTGTTCGCACATCGCCCTGGCAATCGCAGGGAACTTGTCCGACGAGAAGTCGACGAAGGTCAGATCGTTGAAGCCCACCACGGAGTTCCTTAGGTTCCTAGCAGTGTTGCCTATCGAGTGGTCCGCGAAGTGGATCATGAATCGGTGCAGATTCAGCACTCGGTGGTTCTTGAAGGACAGGTTACAGGACTCGCATTTCGCAGGAAATTCAGGATGGCTTCTTTCCAGATGCGCTTCCAGAAGGGCGCTAGTCGCGAAGTCCTGTCTGCCGCACACGGGACAATTGTACACGTTCTGGCTATCATCCGGCGACGACTTGATCTCGGTCCTGGTGTTGTTCATCAAGATCTTGTGCCTCTTCTGATTCTCGTTGTCGCTTAGATAGTCGGTACACTTTCTCTTGTTCGTCAGACTGGGCGATCTGTCCTGTCTGTCGATAATATCCGGCGAATTCCTCTTCGTGATATCGTTGTTGTTGTACTCCTCGATGTGCTTCCTCTTCGGCGGCTTCTCGGAGTCGCTGCTGCCCTCGGAATCGGTGCAGCTGTTCAACGACGCGCCTCGGTGCGCTGTCCTCAGGTGTCTGTTCATGTTCCCGTTCGTGGTGAACGCCATCTCGCAGTATTTGCACTTGAACGGCCGCTCTCCGGAGTGGACCAACACGTGTCTGTCCAGGGAACTAGCCGAGCTGAGAACCTTGTTGCACACTCCGCAGCAGTAGTCCTCCTCGCCGCTGCAATCCGTGCTGCGGGGAGAATTGTGACCACGCAGGTGGTTTGTCAGCTCCCTGCAACTTGGCAGGATCGTTGGACACGCGGGACAAGGATGCGCGCTTTCTGGTAGCTCCACCTGGAAGGGAAATACATTTTGAACCTGCAGATCGTTCGGAAAGATTGATGATGGGGGTTCAGTCTAAGTTTAACTTTAATTGTAAATTAATTTGAATTTTGTTTCTGGTGGGCATGTTTGTTATGATGGACAGATTAGTTTGTCAGAAAGTGAAATATGGCATAAAGCATGAAGAAGTAATTAAGTCTGCTCTCTAATGCGCAGTAAGAGCATTCTTATTTAGATACAATGTATCTACCGTTCGCAATCTGTAAGGGCGATTACAACATGGAGGATCTCTTAATAATTATGTGTCAACGAACTTGAATTAACTTACGCTCGACGGAGACGATGCAGCATCGGCTTGCGTTTCGCTCTCGTGTCCCTGATCGGATCCGCTCTTGACGGTAACTGAAACGAAACCGAAGACTATCATTAGCAGGAAGTTCATAAGAATCGACGATCCGGAGAATTTAAGAAACTGTTTCTACAAAATAACTCTCTTTCGACTTATTATAAATTGTTTTTAATTAATAGCGAGGTTGCCAGAAAGCTGTACACGCATATTCCGGAAACTGCTGATACAAGACCGCAAAGAACAAGGCGGGACAATGATACTTATCAGAGAGTTTGACCACACTCGTCCTTATTTACGCCGCTTTTCGATGCCGTACCACGTGGATCCTGCACCGCTGGATCACGCTTCCGAGAACGATACCAGAGAACGAAAAAAAATGGGTCGGTGATAGGACAAGAACAGTCAATCGCGCGATAACGTGCCATCGCGTTCCTTTGCGATTCCGCTGATAACAGCTTACTTTGTTCGTTATCCCTCTAAGATTCGTGACTAGGAAAGATTCGTGTATTCTAGGAAATTCGTGGGACAAATTAATTCAGTATGAGCTGTGTGTAATTTTCAATAAGATATTTATAAAAATTGCCTTTATGTTTGAGGTACCATAAAATTTTATATGAGAGATGAGTTTGAACCCTGTTATAATTTAATATATGAAGTGACTTTATAGTATAAATTATTTAAGTACGATCATTTCAAACTATCGAGTGATTTGGTATAGTCCACATCGTCACAGAAATGCATACGTGATCTTAGGCATTGGCCTTTATCTCCAGCGTTCTTTTCATCCAAGTAGATTAAGTGCTATTGACAATCGTGCAGCGTCGATCCGCATTATCGACCCGTAGCAGGAAGCAGACAAAACATCTCGCCGTGTTATCAACGATCTACGGTTAGCTGACCTTAAGATCATTGTCGTCCGAGCGAGTTAGCGTTGAGAAACATTGTTCAATTTTTACTGGCTCTCATTTACTTTGGAATCACAACTCGAATTTTTACGAAAATCTCTTCTGTACACAAATTCTTCGTACGTTTCATTTTTAACGGTAAATTATCTTCAAACTCGATGCACATGAGCAACTTTTCTGCGATCTTTGTTTTTTCATGTAGCACATTAAATACAAAAATTAAGAACTCTACAGATAGTGAGAGGTAGATATACATTTTTGGCATCCACTTTTTAATTTCCTTCAAGGATAGTTATACATATGTGGACGTTTAGTTTGTCTTTAAATTAAAATCAACTAAGCACATGGACATTGCCATTATTTTTACTAGTGACATATTCATAATTTATGTGATGTTAAAAGAGAAAGCTACAATTTTACAAAAACATCAAATCATTCTTTCTAACCTCAAAAATAAATAAGAAGGATAACTTTGCAACCACTGTGTTAATTTATGAGGGGGTGAGAAATGAAGCTGCAAACTTGTAATTGTTATAACAACCTCGATTTTAATCTTGAAGAAATTAACGTTAAATAAGAATGATAGTTTGTAATCATTTTAATCTACGAAGGGGGTGAAATGACGCTGCAGTCTGTTACATCAGCTTCAACTTCAAACCTGAAGAATATTTTGAAGAAGAAAAATGTTAAATAAAGACAACATTTTGTAACCATCTTAATATACAATAAAAAGTGAAGTTACAGTCTCTACAACATCAGCTTCAATTTCAGACCTGAAGAATATTTTGAAGAAGCAAAATGTTAAATAAAAACGATACTTTGTAACCAATTTAATTTACAAAAGCTTGAAGCTGTCTCTATAACATCAGTATTAACTTCCAAGTGGAGTAAAATTCTCCTAAATAAAGAACGAAAAAGAATTAATTGTATTGCAGAGGACAGGTCGTCGACAAGTTGACGAGGGGAAGACAGGTGCGAGCGAATGAACTCGATTAAACCCGCGGTCGTGTGCGTTCTCCGGTGACAAACGTACGTATAGTAACTGGTGGCACTGGCTGCACACAGGTGACTTTATTCATGCACGTAAATCACGCGGACGAAACGGGTTTTCGGTCGTTTAACTACGACTTAGCTTGCGGTTCGCGTCCGCGTTTAGCGAGCCGCTTCGCGCTAAGCGCGCGAATAAATTCGATACGAATGATTTACCGACAGTCGAGGACTCGTTTTTCGCTTGCCGAGGATCCGTCACGTGGCTGGGTTTTAGAATGCACGATTTATACGAATTCACGGGGTTAACGTTCCCCGGATATATTTTCTGTGGACAACGAAATACGATAACCCTTTTGCGAAATATCTACAGGTGTTTTTCTGACCCTTTAATTAAATTCGTTACTTTTTGTATTAAGCATCTTTAGTAATGATGTGCAAGTTAGTTTTTGATGTGAAAAGCATTCTTGTATGGAAAAGTTGATGAAATTTGGTAAAATTATTTTTCACTGTTGATCATCAATGTTGTACATTTTGTTATTTTTAATCGTTCATGCAGTTTTTTTAAAAATATTTAATATGTGTGAATAAGTATCGTATAGTATAAAAAATATTTAATATAGTGAATAAGTTGAACTACTATTATACACTAAAATATTAAGTAACATTAAAGTCTGTTATTATATAACATAAAAATATCACATGACGTTAAAATGTATTATTATATGACGTTAAAATATATTATTATATAAACTTAAAGTTAACTTGCATTATCATATGAAATTATAGTATATTATCATATGAAATTAAAATGTATAATCATACATTTAAGCTGAACATTACATAACATTAAGGTTGAGATAAAACCTCCCCTTATCCTTCAGCAACCACTTAAAATTCCATTTTCCAAATAAAAGTTTCAACTTCAAACACCGAGATGCTGAGTCGTTTTTAAAACGCAGAAATGTTATAATAAGCGATATAGTATGAAATCACAAAGTACATAAAGTGAAGTGCGATGTTGAGGAAATGTAACATTTTTAAAAATTGTTCGAAGATTATCAGGACTCGCGGCGCCTGATGCACAGATTACTTCGGAGTTACAAGAAATTCGCAAAAGTTCCCCGGCTGATAATTTCGCAACGGAGAGCAAATAAACATTTATCTAACGAGCAGATAAAAAAACTACTTATCTGCAACGTAGCTGACTAACCTTATCTGGATTTCGAGAAATTTTGTTTTTAAAATATTATCTCGATCATCGAAAGGCGCGATCGTGATGATCGCATACGAGAAATATGATGAACTAACTCGAGAATTAACTTCCGTTTAGAATTATCAGGAATTTTCATCTGGAAACTTTGTTAACTTCGAAACAATTTAATACTGAAATTTTCAAGAAATATATATACAGTTAAAATTGTTACGATTTCTTTATTTAGTATAAGACTGACTGAAAAAATAAATTTTAATTTCTGAAATATTTATTGTACTTCAATTATTAAATTGTATGATTCAGATTATTCAGATAAGTGATTAGAAAGATTATTAAATAATCTTTGAAATTATTAAATGTTTGTCTCGAGACAAACTTGAGATTCAACTTCAATATTTTTATTCAAAATATACATTTGCAATTTTTTAACTTACAGAAGACTTCATTTTTATCAAAATTATTAACAACTGAAGTATCTAAAATTTGTAAAAACTTGAATTTTACAATTTGTATCAAAGTGAAGATTCTGCATGACTCAAAATATAAAAAATCAGTACCAAACAAAAATTTCAACATCTCGCTAAAACTTTGCTGCCAATTCAGAATTCTGAAACTTGAGATACCGCTGAGTCAGATTTTCGTAACAGCGACACCTGCTGAACCGGAGGTTTCGATAAGAAATTCGATATTATCTTCGAGACATTCAGAATTCCTTCGATGAAAAGAGCGGAGATTCCGGTGAAATTTGAAACAGATTCTTCCGTCGCGACAAAGTGGAAATCTTGCTTTCCATTTCTAACGATCGCTGATGGTTTGAGACCGATGGTTACGAGGCTCTGCGAACCACAAAAACCGATTTCTATTTTTTTTCCTTCGGCGTCAGTCGACGTTGACGCGTTTCCATGGTAGTGGACTTTCAACTGCGATCAAGCGAGAATATTCGAATCGAATGCAACTCGAAATCATTTAATTTATGTGTAAATTATTTGTGTAACTATTTCAAGGTGCCTCTTTAGACAAATTCAGAGTGACATTCTTTATATTGTTATTTTAAAATGAATTTATGTATCTTTCTCTGACCGTGAATTTTAGTAAGAAGTTTAGTGAACATGACTAACTATACTTTCGTACTTTGGGTATTTTTATCATGACTTTGTAATGAAACATTTATGACTAAATATTTATGCAGCATTTTATAAAACATTGTGTTCATATGACACTTCATGGTACAATATTCGTAAATCATTATCTACAAAACGTTATATTTATATAACATTTTAAAGAACATTTATAAAACGTTATATGTAGATAACATTTTGTAAAACAATATATTATAGGAACATAAATTTACAAAACACTATTAATTCTCATAATTTCCTTCCTACAATAAACTGACATTATTTAATAAAATAAAAATGAAAGACTCTATGCATCGAAACTAATAATTTTGTAAAAAGTGAACCACGACTCTAAATTCAATAAAATAAAAATGGAAGATTCTGTCTATGCACAAAATCTATAAACTAATCTTGTAAAAAATGAGCTACGACTTCAAATTCAATAAAATAAAAATAAAAGACCCTGTCCACCGATAAAATTGAAAAATTAATTTTATAAAAAGCCACATCTAAATGTATAAACACTCAATACCACATTTAAGTGCACAAAAATTAAATACCACATTCAAATATATAAAACCAACAATACTGTGTATACTAACAACATAAAAGAAAAACTACGACTCTCTGTCGTAGTTAATAATAAAAAATGTCTACATAAAAATTGCAAGAAGAAGTTGTAATATCGATAGGTAAAAAAGAAGGGTAAAAGCTCGAGGGCGAAGGGCGACATTGCGAAGGGCCAAACGCCACGCCCTGTATCTGCAATGCACCCCTTGGGGTAGCTTTCGCGTCGCAGAGAAGCACGGAAAAGGGAGCAGTGTCAG